TTCATGGGTTCATGGGTTCATGGGTTCATGGGTTCATGGGTTCATGGGTTCATGGGTTCATGGGTTCATGGGTTCATGGGTTCATGGGTTCATGGGTTTGGGGTTTGTTTGTTTTTGTGTTGGAGGTTTTGGGTTTGGGTGTTGGAGGTTTTGGGTTTGGGTGTTGGAGGTTGAGGTTTCCGAATGGATGTGTTTGCAAAGTTTTATTGCTCTTAATATTATAAGTTCTTGCTGGTATCGTCCCAGTCAATCATCATGTACAGCACTGGCTGTATGGGTCGTCTCATATTGAATACTTGAATGTTTCAAACTGGCAGTTTTTGGATTCCCTCTTTGCGAAATTCAACATCACCAAATGTCGTTTTCAGTCACACCATTATCATTCAGTCGTTGATGAAACTCATCATGACGCCCACACTGGGAAGAATCCTGAAACCCGATCCACCTCGTGTTTGGAGCGTCGTAGAAACAGTGTTGTCAGTGGGCTTTTTGAGGCAAACCACGAAGAGTGAAAGGGACTGGAGGGACGAGGTGCGTCACGTAAGTACCACGATAGTACCAGAGTGGACGAGGAGACTTAAGATTCTAGAAGTTGTAGGCGCCATTCTAGAAGTTGTAGGCTGCCGATTGACAAAAATGAGTACCAGTACGGCTAGAACAATGTCATTGCGTCGTCCGTTTTTCCCTGAGGTCTCGTCGACCTCTCGCGCTTCTACCGCTGCGTTCTTTTGGGGAGTAGACCATTGTCGTAGTGGGTCTCCGAGTCCTGTACTTCTAAAAACAACGAACAGGAGACTGCGTAGATTTTTCTCAACTGCGTCACCTGCATCATCAACCAGGACTGGCACTCCCTCTACATCCTCGCGAGTCGGCTTTATTGGCATTGGCCGTATGGGCGCCCCCATGTCTGCGCATTTGCACAAGAAATTCGGACCAGTGTCCATCTGGAACCGGACGCCCGACTGCAGTGCCAAGCATTCAGCAGAACATGGAACTCTAGTCGTGAATAGTGTTGAGGACTTTGAGTGTCCTATAGTGTTCTGCTGCCTGCCGACAAGCAAAGAAGTCCGCGACATGGCAGAAAGACTCATAGAATCGAAACGGAGGAACGGGAAAGTTAAGTACTGGGTACTGTGTACTAAGTACTAGGTACTACTTACTAAGTATGTATCAAGCAGCCACGTTGACGTTGAATGCTTGTTCAACGTCGTTGAGTGGTTTTGTTAGAGCGACGATGCGACATTTCTTATACTAAAAGTGATGGAATTGAAAACTACATTAACATCTTCTAAGCTTAATTGAATATGCTACTACTTGTCCTCTTCTTCTAAAAACCTCTCGACATTGATCGATTGCACAAGTGGCTCCTTCGCGCAGACGATAGCGACGGGGGAATTGCTTGCCAAGGAAGGGATATCACTAGTCGACTGCCCTATTAGTGGCGGTCCCCGTGGGGCGCAATCTGGGACCTTGACGGCGATGTTGGGTGGGAATAATTCGGAGCATCTGTTAAGGTCGAGCGTAATTCAGCTGGGGAAGCATCTTTCTTTGGACCTTTGATTTTTGAGGGGTAGAGAACGTGGTGTCATGGACTCAAGGGAGAGAAGATTTTCAAGATGAAGAAATTCAAATTTTTGGGTAAGCTTTAAATCTGGCCACAGCAAGCGAACTAGCATCCGCCTTCGCAAATAAGGTAGAGCAAACAGGCCCTCTTGGGAGTGCACACGCTGTCAAGAGCATCAATAACATCCTGAATAGTGCAAATCTTGCGGTCGCAGTGGAGGGTCTGCTGGCATTGCGAAAAGTGCTTGGACCAGACCTAGACATAGCGCGGGCGTTGGCGTGTATCAATTATGAGGATCGATTAGTCTACAAGATGCCGTTTTGTGGTTCTTGACGCGAAAAAAGATGCTGTCCTCATGATTGTTCTCAATCTTTCTCAATCTTTCATTCAAAATCCTTCTCAATTTCTAAGTCCTTGCTTCGTCCGGTCGTTCCTTGCAATCAGAAGCGCGTGTGCCAGAAGAAGTCCTTTCGAGGAGGTTTGGCTATGGCTTCGATCTCCTGCTGATGCAAAAGGACTGCAGTGCAGCCAGGGAACTTCTGACTTTACGCGATGAGGAAACCAGTCTACTTCCTAGAGTAGCACGTTTATTAGACGACGCTGCGTCGTTTTACGGCAAAGAGTGCGAGGCAGCGCGTAAAGACGGGGATATCGTGGATTACACATATATCGCCAGATACCTCGAGGAAAAGGCAGGGTACGAATTGCGAGGATCTTCAAAGTAAGATCAGAGTTGTAGATTGTTGTTGTTGTTGTTGGGGGTACGTACTGGAGAATAAACGAGTTCTTTGCGCGTTTACATTAGATCACAGAATCAGAAAGGCACGTAGGATCTATACACGGGCGTGCTTTTTCATTTTGCTAGAACATCAATGAAAATCAATTTGATTCGAACTGCTCCATATCTGCCGCGATAAGATCTCTAACCGGTGTAGCTGAATTGTATTCCAAAATTTTTCGGTCAAGAAGTAGAATTCTGAAGATTTGATCAAAGTACAAGATACTCACTTTGGAACTTGAAGACCCTCAATCATAACTCGATCCAAAAACCGTTGCCCTACGTCCTCTACAGGTCTTTTGTTGTTGCTGAGGCATTTTTTTATATCATCGTAATCGATGGTGTCGTGACGCCATTAAATTGACATAGCAACATGAAACTTGTTTTCACAACTACACTGAGAAATGACTGAGAAATTGCCTCCAACCTTTTATGCTTGGGTAATATCAAAATTTCAATTTGAGGCTCTTCAATTGAAGTCGAACGAAAAGGTGTAACTTCTGGGTATAAAATTTCGTAGCAAGATGATTTACAAGCAGAAGCAAGGCGGTACGAGCAGTTTTTTTAGCCGTTGCAAGTAGGATTGAACAATACATTTAAAAAAGCAGGTTTCTGAAGAATTTGAAGCTGCTTTGAGCATGTCAAGAAACGATACCAATCGTTGTATCTATCAGACACTCAAAAAATTTGAAATCATCCTATCAACAGAACAAGTTTTTAAATCATCGAACTTCTACTCTAGGCTCTTCGGCCCCCAACTACACAATGATGGGCATTCTACGGAAGACTCTCATGGCAGTATCTGTGTGCATCATCCACGTTTTTGGCGCCGAACCTCCGCCGACACCTGCGCGCTCAGCATGCGGATCCTCTCAGCTTTGTGGTGTAACACACGCTTCCAGTGCTGCTTCCTCGTTCGTAGTTGGAGAGATGGCTACAGGGCAAGGCGATGTTTCCGGAGCAGTTTGTCCGCCTGCGCCTCGACGTAGACGTCGCAGCTCCAGTACAACGAGTGGAGACGAGGCAAATCCGGACAATCCACGATGGTTGGCGGGTGTAGTTGATCAGTGTATGGCTGTAAACCGACGAGCAAGCCTCGACTCTGAAGATAATGAGGAAGAAGCCGAGGATGAGGAAGAAGGTGATGCCGATGATGCTGATGAGGAAAGCTACGGTATGAGACCCTGTTCCAGCGGTGAAACGATAACTGGTGATATTCGTGACCGTGCGAAGAGCTACATCGTTGGAGGGGGAGAAGACGAAGATCCAGTAGTACAAGTGGAGCATTATAGCTTTCCAGTTGTAGAAGGTGAACCATTGTTGTACGTCCCCAACGACAGTCCTAGAGAAGACGTGGCATCTTCAACTGCACCAAGTACAAAAGCAGCAAGGACAAAAAAGCGTACTGGCTTTGTGAAATGGATTCGGTCTAAACTTCAACGTCTGCCTGTCATTGCTATTTTGCAGACACAAAAGAAATGCCGAAAACAGGACTGTAACGAGATAATGGAGTTTCTCAGTGGTCCGACTTGCGCTAGAAGTAGAACTACTTCTACTAAAAAAGCTGAAAAAGCCAGTGATGGTGATGTTGCTGCAGGTGAACAAGAACATGTTGAAGAGGGAACAATCGAGGAGAGGATTCCTGCTAAGTTTTTACCTTTTCTCGATGGCCATCATGGAGCCAACGTTCGTGTGTGTCGTTTAAACAACCTGGTTGTAGGGAACAAGGATCATGTTAAACGAGATCAAGATAATGAGATGCATAAGCCTACAAGTAGTACTTTCAAAGAGAAAGAGCTTCGGTCCTCCTCCTCTTTGCAAAAAGTAGAAGGTGGAGGTGTAAAGATCTACCTGGGTGCGATGCCAGCTTCCGAGTTGCCTTGGTGGGTGCCGTTTCGCAGAAGGTGGGGAGGAACTAGCTTTTTCCTGTACTTGTTGCACAACCTCGGCTGTACTGCTTTTCTGTCCGTAAATGAGGCGGCCGAAGTCAATTTTTTGCCGTACAAGGTGGAAAAAAGGACCAGTTGCTGTGAGGAGGATGAGGAGGAGGATCGTGAGGACGAGTGTTATGGGTGTAGGGAATTCATCATCTCCAAATGAGTCATCTGGAAGAGAAAGACAAGAGGAAAAAGGGACTCAGATGAGCCCTGAGATGAATTCCCGATACCTCTAAGATTGTGAGGGTTTACTTGAAGAGGGAGAAAGTTGCATTTCTGAAGAAGTAGATGAAAACAGCCAAGCAGCAGGGGAATTCGAAATGCAGGATTGGAAGCATAGTTTCGAAGTACAACAAGACTTATCCTGTACATCTGCAGCAAACGCTAGCATGATCTTAGACCGGTACGAGAATTCCATGGCCGATAGAAGTCGACCGAGTTCCTTAGCTCCACGAGGGTGTTTTACATCTATGCGAGAGCGTCTAGGCCTTTCGAGAGGTCGCGCTGGCCTTTCCTCAAAGCAGAAACGCAGTAGCCGTGAAGGCTCCTCTTTGTTGCGATCAGTAGTACGGTGGTCTCCCAAAGGTAAGAAGACCAGGAAATCTTCCTCCTCTCGTCCAGTTGTACCATCTAGAAATACAACCAGTAGGAAAAATCTGTTGACTACAAGTACGAGAAGAATGTCCGATAGACTACACTCGTCCACAAGCAGAGATGGCGGACAAGAACTTCAACAGCATCTCTCTGCAGAGGAAGAAGGCGCAGAGTATAAAGGAATGGCTTATCACTACACTTGTTTTGCAGCGTCAGATCATGTGCCAGTATCGCTTGAAAAGTTGCACGCTTCGGCAGATGTTCTAGCGAAGTGGGTGCAAGAACGCGGTACGACACCGAGGACCGAAGAAAGGGGAAGTTGTAAGGAGAATATCTATGTTCACTGCAAAGCTGGAGTTGCACGATCCGCGATGGTTCTTGCTGCTTTTATACTGAAATATGGCCGAATTGTAGCTGCCGATGTGGAGGAGACTACTGCGGTTGCGGACGAGCAAGAGGGTCTGTTACTGTTTCGAGAAGGTCCTGCCCGTGGTCCAGCAGGTTTTCAACCAAGTCAACCAGAGCAAGGACAACATGTACCTGGAAGAAGTACCTTTTTTAGGAGGTATTCAAAAGAAGATATGGAGCAAAAGCATGGTTGTCAACCTACGAGGTCGAAATATCATCTCCGCCAACCGACGGTGGAAGATGCAGCAAAGATTGTCGAGCAACAACGGCCGAAAGCCAGGCTTTTTTCCAAGAAGGATAAGCTGGAGAGGCTGGAGGATTTTGCTGAAACTTTGGTATTGCCTCGGCAACGGAAACGAAGTAGCTTCGATATGGATGATGATGCTGTTGCTGACGTCTTTGCAAAAGGGGCCTCCAACGAAGTTCAAGAATTTTTCTTCCTTATCGATGAGGAGGAGATTACAGGACGGGGTGGAGGAAACATAAAGAGTGGTGAATGTGAAGACCACTCGCTAACAGCACTAGTGCGGGACTGGCACGTTTAAAAGTAAACCTGGTCGTTACTTCTTGATTTCATTGAGAAGATCATAAAGTGGACAACTGGGAGGTCTATCACGAACCCTATATATAGAAGCTCATGTTGAAGAAAATGATCACAAGAGGACTGTAATATTTCTAGTCGGAGGTCATGAAGATGAAGCTCAAGACTGTAAAAAGTGTATCTACAAAGAGGTTCTTTGTTTTTCGTGAGTAATATTCATACATGCTGCAAAATCATGTGAGAAACGACATATAGCCGAGTTGATTTAGTTCGTAAAAAAGTGCCTCAATTTGTATGGGCATTGAGGAACATGAGGCATAGATAGTGACGCACTAAAATCCAAGATGAATCAAAGATAGAAGGGGCTATCGAATGAGGATCATGTGCAACAACCACGATTACTACACTTTTTTTGACGTTGAATTATACTTAGTACTTGCAAATTTGGATTTGCGTTACAAGATGATCTGTGGACTATGTTGTACTTAGTATTTTTTTTAAAGAAATTTGAAAGATGAATTCATGTCCTTTGCAACTTAGGTCCTTATAACAGACGATAGTTAGGTGTAGTGATGAGTGACGGAAACACTGGGTAGAAGTAGGTTTTTGAAGATTGACGTAAAGTTGTAAGATTCTTTTCACTGGGTGGCGTTGCCCCTACGTGCGCTTCCGTTTTCTAAGTTTAAATCAGCTTTTAACTGCAGTAGAAGGTGGTACTAGTTTTTTTCGGTGGTCAGTTCAAGACAGAGGGGGAGGTTCCATTGTGGAGACGCCTGTGCATTTTTTTCTCCATTGTAAGCAAGGAAGACTGTACTAAGACGAGTAAGATCGATGTTATACAACTATAGCTTAGAAGATTGATGAGTGACGTTGATGCCTAAGCTACGTTGAACGTCTATGCAATTTACTAGAATAAACGAAAAAGGTCGTCAAAGAAAAGAAGAAGCACGTCTTTCTCGCCGCATTCGATACATGCCAGATGAAGCCTATAGTTGCCCTTCATCTGCTGTAACCCTCGTTCTAGAAGATGCAAATTTTTTTGTCCTTCAAAAATTTACCTATATAAATGAGTACTTACGTAGTATGGTGACAACGACGGACGATACTACTAAGTGATTGCCAGACTACAACTACCAACAATAGTAGCAAATAACGGATACAAAAGTATCGTATGATTTGGTCAACATGAAAGAGAGGGACGATCTCAGAAGAAGGTTTTCAGAGGGAGCCAGAACGTCGCCATAATGGGGCTATATGCTCGACAAAAAAATGGCGTTACACCTGTGTGTCGACCACGTGTTGAACAACGTTTTAGCCAGTGTTCGAGGATGCAAGTATAAGCACAAGTATAACACCAACACCACTAATCAAGCAGTAGTGCTTACACCCGTATAATCTGGGTATATCATCGTCGTCATCTTTGGTGCGAACGCGTGATCGGATTCTTTGCCTTGTTGTTGAGATCTCAAAAACTACTGATTCAGACCCTTTAGCTTGAGAGAGTAGGTCTTAGAAGCAGTTGCTGGTGTTGGTCAGGTGAGCCCTTGGTTTCCATTTTTCTCAGGACAAGAGAGAGAGAGGAAGATGCATGAAATCGCTATGTTGAATCATGGAATTTGAATTATAGGCTATTCTAATTCTTGGAAAAATGCCGACGTTGACGTATAGCAACGTCTACCGTAATTGTAGCAGATGACGGAGATACGCGAGCTCCTTTGGGCCAGCAAGACTGGCTTTGCAGCAAGAAGTTCCTCCTCTTCCATTGTTGCTCCCTTTTGTGGTCACGGTCATGCTGGTTTTTTGCAGATGCCGCCACAGAGGCCTACTACGACAAGGTTTTCTACCGCCTGCTGCTCACGACTCACACGGTTGCCTTTATCTTCTTCGCCTTCGTCCTCTCGTCATATAGCCACTGCAGCATCCGCCATAACCCCAACCAGCGTTTTGGACGCTAGTGGGCACGTTATTCCAGGAAAAATGCGGATGAAAAAACGCTTAGAGCGCGAGACCAAGGTCGACCCTGCAGTCAAGGCTTACCTTGCGGCGCAAAGGGTTGGGCTGGCGAAAACCAGAGCTCAGAGGCGGTCACAGTGGTTTGAGATGACCCATGGGAGCTACGCACCGAGGTTTCTAGATCAACTGCGACCTTCCTTACAGATGGTCACGTCTGCCATAGACGTGAAGCAATTGCCGTCACCACAGTTGCCTGAGGTTGCGTTCGCAGGGAGAAGTAATATTAAGGCTTGCAGCTCCTGCCCGAATTTCTATCCATCTTCAGAGAAGTCATCCTAGAAGAGAGACTTCTCAAGGGGAAAAGACGCTTAGGACCATGCGGCTCGAGATGGATCATGCTGGGTTCTAAGAATAGTGGGAAATCTACATTGCTAAATGCATTGACAGGTTGGGGAAGGGCGCTAACGAAAAGAACGCCGGGCAGTACTACAGTATTTTTTTTGGCTTATAGATGAATCAGATACTCTTTGTCTTTGAATCAGATACTCTTTAGGAAGGCAGGCTTAATAGATGAATCAGATACTCTTTGTCTTTTGAAGAAGGCAACTCAAAAGGGACCTCAAAAGGGTGTCTACGAGTACTAGTTCTCCTATTTCAAACAAAATCACAGGAGCTTGTGTTCTGGAATGTCGGGAAGCCTGCAACCCTTCGGTTCGTAGACTTGCCGGGGTACGGTTTTGCCTGTGCTAGTGAGGAAAAACGGGTTCAGTGGACCGAGTTTACCCTGTGGTATCTGAAGCACCGAGGACCTCTCCGCTTAGTCCTAGTTCTCTGCGATTCCAGAGTGGGTCTGGTGGAATCCGATCGGGAGTTTCTGTCCTTCTTTTACGCCCCATGAGGATTCGTTTTCAGAGAAGTTCTGAGAAGATGGACATGGGATATGCATTATCGTACTTTTCTCTATCAAGAAACTAACATAGACTTTGAGATTGAGTTGTTCTATGTAACTATAGTCTAATAGCTCATTTATTATCGTGCTTTCTAATTCTCGGATCGGCATAGTGTGAAATGGCAACTAGTCTTCACGAAATGCGACAAGGTGGACAGACGAGAACTTGCGCGAAGAGTTAGCATGGTGAATCAACATGAGTTGTTAAGGCAGTAGTAGTAAAAGTAGTAGAAGTGTAAAACGAGGAGGAAAAGGACGAGTTGTTCCACCTCAAAAAATTTGACTAGGAGTCAACTTCTTGTTACCATTATAGACCAGTCAACCTCGACGTGGTTCCTTCTCCTAGTTCAGTAGGCGGTCTGAATGTTCTAACGTCCGGAGGTTATGATTTAGGCACTGCGTCATGGCAATCCGCAGGTGGTGGAGTTGTGGGGCATAATTCTGGCTCTCGGTCAATGGATGGCAAACGATATCGGCACATGCACTCTGCGCCTATACCGATATCTGCCCTGCGACGACAGAACCTAGAGAGTGTGCGTGCGGTTTTGAACCCTTTAGCGATGTCTCAGGAGGTCGTAGTAAACGGAACGAAGCAAAGGGTGTACTTATGATGCAAGAATCGTGTTTCTGAGATATTGAGACTGCATGCAGATGCTTTCATTCTAGGTTACAGTCCCTCCGAGGAATACATCTAGAAGGGTCGATTGGGTCATTTTGAGAACAAGAAGGTGACTTCTATGAAGTATAACAAGTGCTTGTTCTTGAAATCTACTAGAACATCTTTTTACTTACTACTTGACCATGTACTAGTGCCCGAGGTAACATGACATGACATCTAAGATGTGACCTAGTAGAGCTACAGCGGATTCGGCGCACCCAGAAGGCTGAACGACGGCGGTTACGGCTCCGAGAACGGGAGCGAGAACAAAGTTTGCAGGTCCAGCAAGCAGACGTGACAAGTACATTGAAGCGATGGGGCTTGGATGAGGAAGAAGAAGAGACAGCAGTTGTGCATGACGCGGAACACAGTTGCTCGATGGACAATATGGGCACGAGGACATTACAACATGGTGTTGACAAGAGGGGGGCGCTGAATGAGGTGGAACAATATGAAGATGTTTGTGGAGGCGCAGGAAGTGCAGGAACAACTTCTATAGGCGAGGATGATACACTCGAAGTTCTGCGGGAGCCCCAAGTTCTGCGGGAAGAGGAGTTCCCAGAGAAAACGACTTTAAGCAACGAAGACAGTACTCCCGCAGCTTCGCTTGCGACGCTCAATCTTGCTGATGGAGAGGATGATGTAAAAATCGAGAAAAGTGTTGATTGGGAAAGAACCGAGGTGGCACCTGCTGCTGAAGACGACACACAGTTCCTTTCCGGTATTCTTCCTGGAGGAGAAGCTGTAGAGGCCGCTGAAGATATTTTTAGTAAAGTTGAGGCCTCAGCAACATCTTGTTCCTCTTCTGTCGAAGACTTGCTCAAGGAGGTCGACGAGTCAGGTTCGACGAGGGCTTCAACTGAAGCGAGTGCTTCAGAAGATGAAGATTGCGATATAATTCTCGAGGCTTGCAGACTTGACTCAGGCGATAATCATGATGTTGACGTCTTAAAAGCGGAGACATCTTCGAACAGCACGAAAATTGCTTCTTGTTTCTATGACCATCAAGACCTCCTCCGTGAAACATCAAACAGGAAGAAAGAGCGGACATCTAGTTATTACACCTTCACACGGGGACAAGCTCCCGATCCTCTAGCAGATCTGGAGGCTGACGGGGTGTTGACGAGTTTCGATTTGACGTGTGGTTCTTCTCTAAGTAGCGACCCTACTAAAGAGTCATCTTCTGGTACTACAGGAAGGTGGACAGCTAAAAGCGACGAAGATGCTCCTGGAATTTTCTCACCTACAGCTGGTTCAGCAGCTTCATCTGAAACAGCTGGTTCTTTACTCCCCGATCTTTCTCCTGTTGCAGACCGCGTAGTTGTTCCACCACCAGATTCGCCTAGAGGCAAGAGCACGCGACGAGAACGAGGAGAACAGCGCAAAGCGGAGCAAAGTTAAGGCTTCCCCTAATCCATCCCGATCCCCAGAATATGATCTTGGAGCTATCCCTCAAAAGGGAGAGAGAGAGGAGCATCAAGATACGTCGTCTTAAGATGGATTATAAGGGTGAGCTCTAACAAGGGGCAGCACAAGTCAAGGCGAGAGAAGCAGTGGCTGCAAAGATCGTTGCGTCTAACGTAGCCCTGAATAAGGACCCAGGTCTGTTGAAAAAAGCGATCCGACCGTGGGAGCCAGTGGTTTCGGAGCAAGAATTGGCAAAAATTGCGAATAAAGTGGAGTATGATCACGTGAAAGAGCATGAAGAAGGGCAAGCCGCGTATGACCCGAATCGAGGACTGAGTGAAGATGAACAGCGCATTGCATTTAGAAATTTCGACAAGACGAAACAATTGTCAAGTTCTCAATCAGGCTCTCTAGAAATGAACCAGGACATGCAGGAGGAGATCAAACGTCGACACAGAACGGAGTGGCGCAGCAGTCTGGACAACACAGATCACGTCGCACATATTATGCATGTAGGGAACTCATCTCCGAAGTCAACATCTGGAAGAACAAGATATAATTGGGAAAAAGGCACCTCCCAGATGAACTTCATTGAGATGTTCCATTTCCTACACCTCTAAACTTGAGAAAAATATCGCTGCGAGCGTTGAGGGAAAACACCAGAGTGCTATAACCGGTGCCTCACGAGGACCAGCATCGACTGGTGCCGCACGAGGTGGCACTAGAGAAGCACAACTACTACCTCCTTCAGCTGCAGCAACCTCACCACATCATGCGATGGCACCTTCTGTGCCCTTCAAACAGGGTTCGAGAATTGGCCTCTTCACAGACGGCATCAGTGACATTCTTCCGAGAGGAATACGCAAATGGAAGGTAGTCGGAAAACCAAAACCGCATACCCCGGCGACGATGAATTTATGAAGGAATGGATGAAGATTTGTATCATGAAGAGCATTGGCATTCATAAATGTTGGTGCCACTACTTGTTTTGATTACTTCAAGTCCAATGCCATGAATATGAAAAATATGATAATAGAAGAATATCATTAATATACTTGCTTCAAAATGATCTTAGATTCTAAAACTTACTACAAATACTGATACTTTGCTAGAGATCTCGTCGATCTACTCCAGAAAATAATGTCTAATCCTTCGTTCCCGCGACGTTGCAGCAATATTACGGTGTCGTCTCAACCGCAACGGTGACGAAATCATTCCGAAGAAAAGTGGCAACGCGATGACTTTTCAAGAAGCCAAAAAGAAGATGCAAGGTTGGGCAGCCCGTCATCGGCGACGTAAATCTCTTGTAGCCGAATCTGGCAATTGGCGGAATGAGGCGGAAGCACGAGAGGAATGGGAGCAGAAGCGGGGCGTGCGCTTGGCCGACTTACCAACCGTCGATCCAACGGGAAGACGGGATCCATGTGCAACGAGAGAGCTGAAGCAGGGCTTGAAAATGATGCAAAAGCAGAATCGCGCGAAGCGGAAAGGGAGAGACCAGTGACATTAGTACATATGAAATCTTATTCGTCCTTCGATTCTTCTTTCTTACTACCTTTCTCTTTAATAATCAAATGTGGTTTATGAAATCTTATTAGAGGAAACAAGGGAGAGAACACTGACCTGAGACTCAATAGGGACAAGGAGCTAGCAGGCTTGGGTACCAGAATGTAGCTCTTCACCACCTCAGCTAGAAGATGAACGGCTGTGCCTTTGAAGTGAGACTCGTCTGGAACGAGCTTGATGATAGGAGTCAACCTTGAACCTCAAACTTGATGATAGGAATGCACTTGTACTTACTTGGATACTAAACACTGGACCATAAAGCTAATCGTACTTACTTGCATACTCTGGAAGAGATAAGTACGACGCAGATGATGATGACCGGGATGTACTACATTTTTTTGACGATTTTTCACTATGATCATTTGGCCACCTTAGTTTCAGTTTGAGCATGCCGCCAGCATGCGTAAATCTAATGATTATCGTAGTTGTTCATCGAATGAAGAAATATGATTTTTTTTCTTGCTGCCAGCCTCCGCTTGGAGCGAATCATCGTCACATACTATAATAAGTCCTAATACTATTAGTGAAAAATATGACTTTTTCTGACGATGGCACTGTAGTTTTGTGGTGTTTTTCAACGAGCAAGTGACAAGGAGTACAAAGAAGGCATGCAAAGAATCCGTGTTCTGCTTAATAGCCGCAATGAAATAACCTGAGACGAGTTTTCGTTCGACAGACATGAGGATGAAGACACTTCCTTGTTCAAAAATTTCAGAAATGCAAAGAAATACGAACCTTGAGGTCGAACTCTGATCGAAGATGAATCACGAAATTCCAATTTTTGAAAATCTAACAAATCCAGGAGGTTCTGTGGTTGTTGGGTCTTTGGAACCACAATTTATGTGTGTGCTAGAGTGAAATTTCTGCGTCTACTGAAATCCTCTCTGCGTTCTGAATGACAAATCTTCCCAATGCGTTCTAGTATAATCATCTTCAAATAACGATCAGCTGATGATCTATGTATAAGTTCAAAAATCAACATCACAAACTGCCTCATGCTCATCTTCATCATATCAATCTACTTCTCAAGGAACATTTTATCTCAACATCTCAACTGCAGGTAAATCAGAGTTTTTCACTACTACTTCTTAGTAGAACATCAACAAACACTAACACAACAAGAACTTGATTGTTCATCGTTTCATTGTCTTTCTCTTTTTTTGTAAAAAAAAGAACAGCACCTCCAACAAAATGGCGCAACAAGGTAGCGTAAAGTGGTTTTCCGACAAGGGCTTCGGCTTTATCCAACCGGCTGACGGATCTGAGGATGTCTTCGTGCACTTCTCCTCCATCAACATTAAGGCTACCGCTAAAGCATCTCCCTACAACATCATGGTCCTTGGTTCATCTTTTTCGACTTGAATGCCTTTTACTACTAGAAATACTTGAAAAAAGGAGTCATATTTCAAGGATGTCTCTACTCAAGGAAGAAATACAACAAACGCCTTCTATAGCTCTAACTTCGAGGACGGCTTCAAATCGTTGAACGAAGGTGAGACCGTCTTCTACGACACCTTCTGGGATGAGCAGAAGCAAAAGACTGCTGCTGTCAACGTGAGCGGAAACGGTGATGGTATCCCGCGTCAGAAGGGCAAAGGCAAGGGCTTCGACAAGGGATTCGATGGCAAAGGAAAGGGAAAATTATGGCAGGCTTTTTGATAATTCATTTAGTTGGATGGTGTAGAAGCGGATCATTATATACAGGTCGTGGATACAAAGAAGTAGAATGTACGTCGTCTACCCGCTTACTTCTATTCAGCATACTAGTTGTGATAGTGTCTCATCATGATCGTAGGTTACCTAGAAGTCCCTTCAAACTCATTGTAGAACATTTCTAAGAAATTTCGGTGGCGGCTTCGGCGGCGGCTTCGATAAGGGATTCGGTGGAAAGGGCTTCGGAGGAGGCAAGGACTACTGGTAATTTCATTACCTTTGAGGACGTTCTTCAAATAGAAGCTGATGGAACAAATTAGGATTCTTGCCAGGTAGTTGTGAGAGGTGCTGGTGAAAGATGAAGTCCTATAGTGGTCCTCTCTCCGGAAGGCGAAGGGAACTCTCAAGGCGATGTAGTTGTTGCAGTGCTTATACATCATAGATACTCGAGTTATGAGATTGATGTTGTAGTACTCGTCGGAACGATGTGAAACGATGGGGGGACGAACATCGAGAAGTTGGATTTGCTTTGGTTTTTATCGTAAAGAAAGTAAGAAAAAACATGCTGTGATGGAAGAGCTATGAAGATGGGGAGATACTTCTGATGCTCAGCACAGACGCCGTCACTATGTGTTGGATGCAATCAATCACTATTACGAGAAGTAGATTTATACGAAGTGTTGTTGTACTAGTTTGTTTGTGTAACCAGGAGTAGAAGATTTATTAAACTCATAATAAGCACAAGGAGGTGCAAACATCATCAAAAGAAGTTCATATTTCCTCGATCTTCATCAGAAGTTCAAGATTAAGTTAGCAGGTCCTCGTACTAGAGGCGTAAAACCTTGTACTTTTGTCCTAGGACGATTAGGACTTGGGGACTTCCATGATTACTTAATACCACACCTTCATGACAACATCATGATATGGTAAACTGACTTCTTTCATGTTAAAACTTCTTCATGTTGTTGTAATATGTTGGATGCAAAAAAGTAAAAAAGCAAACTAAACTGCTGTGTCGTCGTGGAAACGGCACAGCAGGTGCAGCGCAAAGGCATAGCGACAGCAGGTTGAAAAAAATACTGTTCTGCAAGAGAAATTCCAAAGGTTCAGAAATGAAATTGAGATTGAGTAAGCCTTGAAGACAGTGAGATTGAATACCACAAGTTTTTTTTTGGTTTTGTATTGGCTATTTGAAGATGAGGATGTGACACGACGTCATTATGTTCAAGATGAAAAACGGTACTAGTTCCTCCGAAATGGCTTAATAACCGAAAAATGCTCTACTAACTCTTCTTAATGACATCGTTACAAGAAGAATGAATAAGACGGGGCTCCTCGTCTCAACAACAGGGACCATTGGTTTTCCATGTGGTGCCTCGGAAAGAAACTTCTTTCTAATTCAGAACGTACAATATGTAGTTCCTCGGCATCGCCCGGTGCACGGCAAAAGAATATGGCAGGCGCCGACCATCTTCCAATGTGCGACTCGAGCCCCTTCGTGGACGCACACGAGTACTGCTCAACAAGTTGTTTCTTTAGCAGGTGGGAGATTTACAACGTGGAAGCCGCTCCTGTCCTCGTGTAGGCCGCGTGAGTATGCGTCCTCCACGACGACGACCTATTTTCGCAGTTCTGCCTCCGCAGCGCGAAAACGAGCGTATGTCGCCTATGCCAAAAAAGCAGCGCTGTTGGGGGTAGGCGTCTATCTGTTCATCGAAGCGAATATTAAGGGTAGTTTATCACTATCCCATGTGAACTATGCTGGGTGGGTTCTTCTTAGAATTCAAGGGCAAGGGAAGGGGGAAAAAGGGGAACTCACTCAGCCAGGCATGGTGAAAAACTAGCGCTAAAAATGATGTCCTCTATGACACGGTGGTCGTGTTGGAGCGGGGTGGCTTTTCAGTGGCGGAAACGGCAGAAATCTATATGCAGGAGCAACGGGAGATGGTTGTTCGTGCTCAGGTCGATGATGATGGGGACGAAGAGGTGCTAGAAAGGGACAATGAAATAAGAGAGCAGAATCATTCGTCAGTACTCTCTACTCCTGAGCGTGTAAGGTTGATATATTGAGTGGGGCCAGGCAGTGGTCGGGAACATATCAGATGATACGAGTATGACTCAACTATTGACACACATGTTTATTAGTCTAGGGGCTGGTATGCTAACCAGTGGTAGACTGCATGATGATGCCCACGTACTCATTCTAAAAGAAGCAGATGCTTCCTGCCCACGTACTCATTCTAAAAGAAGCAGAATGCATTTCATCCAGAGAAGCAATGCTCTATCGCACGGAGGCTCGGGAGAGGCTACGCAGACAAGCCACAACCGAATATCTCATCACTACGAAGTTGAAAGAGCAGCAGGGGAACGGATCAGCAAAGAGCGGGAAGTCATTTACTACTACTACTAGTAGTTGTACAATAAACCCAACTTCGACTACTTCAACTTCAACACAAGCAGTTCCTCCAGCGGGTATTTCTTCAACTGGAACACAGTCAATACGTGTTGCTGGAGGAGCGATTACGGGTATAGAGGATTTCCGAGTGCGGCGATGGCGTGACAAAGTGTTCTCGCGTGCTGAAGGCAAAGTCTTGGACTTGGGAGTCGGTTCTGCAGCGCCAAACTTGGAGATATTTCAGAAGTGGCATCGGGTGCATAGTGTCACATGCTGCGACATTTTTCCCCTAGTGCTCCAGAATGCACGCAAACGGGCAAGACAGCTGAAAAAGAATCAGGGTCAACAGCAGGTCTCCGATATTGCGGGACAACAGAGCAAGGGAGCACAGCATGACCACGAGATATCCTATTCTTTTTTACATGCCGACGCGCAGGACCTGTCGTCCAATCCCGCGGATTATATCCCTGACAATACGTACGATACGGTGTGCATCAGCTTTTTACTCTCGTACTGCCCAGAACCTGAACGCGTACTGAAGGAAGCGAACCGCGTAGTGAAACCAAGTGGCCGGATCCTGTTATTCGAGCGCGGCCGCAGCTCCTATGCATTCCTACGGTGGCTCACGAGACGTTCGTCTGACAGTGCAGATATGACTGAAGATGGTGAAACAATGCGCCTGGACGTGGAGGCACTTATTCAACCATTCTTTCGATCATTAAGAGTAGAAGTGGTTTCCGAGTGTAAAGATACACCGGCTTCCGACTCTAAAGACCCACCTTCCCACAACACCAGTTCCTCTTCCTCAGATTCTTCAGCATCCTGGGTCACCACCCGTGGCTTGGGTCATTTTTACCTCGCTGAACTTCGGAAAGTGGATGGTGATGCCTGGGATGTTGGGAACGAAGGTGCACATCCTTCTAGTCCTAGAAGACGGCATCCTCCTAGTACAAGAAGACGTGAGAACTACGATAGTACTCCACGACATGAGAACGACTATTTTTCCATTGCTCAGGAGCTCGTGGATGAAATAGAGCTATCGTTGGACACCAAAAAGAAGTATGAGGCTTGGGAGTGGCAAGACGGCGATAACAAGAATGCTCTGAGAATTGAGACTGCGACTAAAAGCGGTGAATGTAGTTAGTGCTGGCATGAATCAAATCTGAATGTAGCATCACAAAGGTTGTTTTAGAAACGAGAATGTCTCTTCATGTTGCTGATTCAAACTTGTTCTTGGTGCGGGGAACGAATTCCCACTCGTACAAGGATCCTGGCAACTCTGTAATGGAAAATCAGATCTAATAAAGATCCCGCTTTTGCTCAGTTTTGGACTAGAACCATAGAAACAGATCTGTGTGCGTATCGTAACGCAGGATCCAGATGACGTAGACTAGGGCGCCCAACCTTCATCAAGCCTCCCAATCTTTCTGCAGCGACATCTACCTTTCCTTTTTTTCCTTTTTTTCCCTTCATCTTTGACTTTGCACCACTAGCAAATTCTAGAGTCCTCTTGTCCTCAGTATAGTTGCCTGCCCTTTTAAGCGCATAACAAAACATGAATCCTTCTTTCTTTTCCGCTGGTTCTGGCCGCATCCTAACGGTTGGTGACGGGGATTTGTCTTTTTCCGAGAGTCTCTTGTCGTCCCTAGAAGATGGGTCGCGACTCACCGCCACTGTCTATGACACGTACCAAACGGTCACGGAGAAGTATGAAGGCGCCACGGAACGAATCGAGGGGTTAAGAAAAAGAGGCGCAACAGTCTTGTTCGGTGTTGATGCAAGGAATCTAGGAGAATCTGTAGGAGTCAAAGCGAAAAATAGAGGTGGATCTACATCTACCTCTACTTCATCTTCGTCAACTACTTCTAGCACAACATGCACAACGACCACAAGCATAACCACAACTTCAACTACGACAAGCATAACCACAACTTCAACTCATGTAGAGAAGTTTTCTCGCATCGTTTTTCAATTTCCGCTTCTTCCTGCAATGTCACGTGCGGAGTTTGAAAGTGCTCCATCGCCCGATCCTGTAGTGAACAATCGCTTAATGCTGCTAGAATTCTTAGCCGAAGCCATGGATGGACTCTTAGACCGGGAACGCGGAATAGCCGTCATCACCTCCAAGGACGTGAGACCCTACACGCTGTGGCGACTGCACGATAAGTTGCATGAAGAATTGAACGCGGAATATGCGACAGGAGCGACTGGAGTTTATACAGTAGGTGCTCTTCCGACCACCATTGCAACTTCTATCTCCTCTCCTTCTACTTCTAGCACTTGCAGCTCCTCTGGCAATACTTCTCCATCTCCATCGAGTACAACTTGCCCTGTTGATGAAGAGAAAGCAAAAGCGGACCCTCTTCAGTATGTTCACTTCCTAGGCAAACTTCCTTTCGCGGTTGAAGACTTCCCCGGCTACCAGTTCCAAAATGTGGATCGCGACAAACGTGTAAAGGATACGGGTGGCGTGTCTTTTCTCTTTTGTCATGGGGGTGCAACCAAAAACTTAGTACAAGAATCGACATGTTCTTCGAGGAATGCCTCTACAGATCAAGAAGAAGCAAAAAAAGCAAACGCAGTATCCTCCCTCCTCCAATCTTGCGATAGATGTGACGCGCCTGGTCTTTGCAGAGCCTGTCTCGTCGGGCCTTTCACCTCTGAGAACGACAGGGAGGCCCACGTAACATCGAAAGCGCACTTGCGGTTTGTGAGTAGTGATAAGGTGTGGAGTCGGGTAGTGGAAGAAATGTGGTCTCAACGGCGGCGAAAGAGGACCTCCTCCGCAAGAACTCGTTCAACTACAGAACAACCTTCGAGTTCGACCAACAAAAGAAGTAGTGCGGAAGCGAACGAGGAGAACGACGGCTCGTCATCCTCCAAAAAGCGCATTTCGTAAATTTGATATTCAAAGTCATACTGTAGGCATTTGACAACGCACGAACATGACGGCGCATATCCTAACTCGCAACGATAGCGAAGAACCTGCGCTGCTCGTTCGTCAGCTCATATCAGTTGGGTATCCGCCATGTGTTCAACACGACCGCTCTGTTTGTTGAAATTTTCCTGGAAATAGCATCTTCCACCCGTCAGTGGCAGTGTACTTTCAAGAATGAATATCAGGACACTCTAGAAACTGAAAGTGTAGCGAGATGAATGAAATGAGATCCTGGTTCTTCTTCGGTCTCACTGCAAGCAGTGTTGCGGTACAAGCTTTCTCCAGGTACAACCACATCCATCACGACGAATACGAATTCATCATGAATGCACAAATCAGTACTACTCATCCTGGTGTGGTCTGTCTTAACGGCGAATTACATCTCAATGTAAGCCTTGCGAAGTCTATTTGGATCTTGTCTTGCACTGATGTCGCCATTCATCGACGTAATTTTTACTGGAAACTTGTGCCATACTAGTTACTATGCATTTTCTTGTTCCGTAATGGCAATCCTCTTCCTCCTTCTACCGCTTGTGTGATTCTTCATTCATATCTCTGGTCAGGTCGTAGTGAGTCAGCAGTTCTATCAATATAGGTACAACAAGGAACAACTGCTTCTACAGCTTGCCTGGAAGACCGAAGTATCAAATAATAGTTCTAGTACCTATCTACGATCAAAAAAAATGTCATACGACGAGAAAAAAGTGGAGGACCTCAAGGGATTGTGCAAGCAGAGGGGTCTCGCAGTTACCGGGAAGAAGGATGTTCTTGTTAAAAGGTACTTGTTATGCAATTTGTTGTACCAGTTTTGGTCGTCTCATCTCTACGTCTACGACTGGCTGCCTACAACTCTGTTAAAGTTAATCCTTTTCACCGAAATATTAACATCTCTTCTACCCCACTCCACCCCACTACTAAATTTTAGGTTGAAAGACGACGATCTCGCCAAAGCCAAGAAGGCCGCCGCTAAGCCCGCATCGCCTAAGGTCTCTCCAAAAGCCGCTCCGGCACCAGTTTCCAATGGGAATTCACCGAAAGTGGCACCTACTTCTCCTAAAAACAAGCCTGAGGCAACAACATTGGCTACTATGTCTGATGCGGAGAGAGCCAAGCTACGAGCCGCACGATTCGGAACTGATAATCCAGATGTATCACTTTGATACCTGCCAGCAGGATATTCTTTGTTGTTAGTTTTTACCTTTAGTAGTTATTTTGTCGTAGTAGATTTAGTTTCTCTGTTAAACGCGACAAGAACAACACCACAAGTAACCTAATATTTTCCTCCCAAGGGACTAACCTAATATCATGATATCACCTCAGTTGGAGAAGGAGAAGCAGCGCCAAAGGGCTGAGCGTTTCGGTCTTCCTAATGAAGACCTGGAAAAAGAGAGGCGGAAGCAGAGAGCGGAACGCTTTGGAACCCATAACGAGGATGTCGAAGCTGAGAAGGTCAAATCTCGGCAAGAGCGATTCGGCACTTCCAACGAAACCGACAAAATTTATGATTAAAAGTTTTTATTCATCTTCTACTCGTCTCATCTCAGCATCTCGATACGCCGGATACCCTCTTCCCATGAAATGCAAGGAAGAAAGAGGTCCTCGAAGTTAGGGGAACCGTCGAGATGAATAAAAGGTGACTCCTCGTCTAAAACATGAAAGCGCGACAAGAGCGTTTTGGTACCGGAGCGGCGTCGAACAATAAGCTGGACCAGCCTCTAGGACCGGTGAAGCGATCAGCAGCTGCCAATGGAGACGCCAATGACGAAGAATCACTGAAGAAAAAAGCAAGGATGGAAAGGTATTTGAATTTGTTGTTGATACTTCTACTTTACGTTTATGATTTTACACTTCTCTTTGATGGTCTTGGTTAGTAGACGAAAATGATGATGTTCTTTACCACCTTTTATGTTCATGCACGTCATACACTGACTGTACACGACAACTTGTTCACGCGACTCAGGTTTGGAACTTCGGCTATGAGCACGGAAGCGCAAAAAATCGAGGCTCGCAAAGCACGATTTGCGTAAATAGAAACAGCAAAGGCTAGCCAGAAAGAGACTGCAGGTTTCTGCAGACTTGAAATATGATGATAACCCATAGTACTTGATGTTGATGATGTCGTTGTAGCCTCATCTTGGGATCACGAAACCATCGCGATCTCTGACTCTCTGTCTCCGCCCTGCCCCCTAGGAAAACAGATAGGAAAAGAATTGAAAGCTGAAGAATTTAGTTTTGATTTTTCCCCCTAAAAGGTCCCCTCTATTATACGCAAACAACAAAACACAACATGAAGATGCTACTTCTATACTGAATTGAAGGATAATAGATTTCGTTTTCATATTAATATGCCGAACAGAACTTTCTTTCGAAAACGTTTTCGAAGACACTGACGAGAATACTAGCCACAATCAACATAACAGAAATGTCATCCACAACTGGTGACCAAAACCGAAATATATGACGCTTCGACCACATTCTTATTCTGGCTTTGGAAATTGATGATACTGAACCCGAATATATACTTTAATGCTCTTCCTAAAACAAGAGCGGTAGCTTTTTACCGACGGGTTCCCCGATTGCTAGCTGTTCTCTGACATCGCCGCTGGTTTTGTTGATGCGCCTGTCTAATATCGGTCGTTCTGTCTCTATATAGGGGGCTAGAAGATATAGTCGGTGTGAAAATCATGTTTGAGGTATGAAAGGTCCTACTCGACTAGTCTTCTTTGAAATTTGCAGACAGTTGTATTAGAAGCATATTATTCATCTTGAAGTTCTAAAAATCTTGTTGTGGTACCCGCTTCTCCTCGTAGTGAAAGGAAATATGTTGAAAACGATGAAAAGTTAAAAGTTTCTATTGGCGGAGGTAGCCACGCCAGAAGACGTTGGCATTCATCAGATGCTGCAACCTTGTGGGAGCACCACAAGAGTGCGTGATTGTTGCAAAATATCTTATGACGTGATACTAGTAAGAACAAGCAAGTACAAGAACAAGTACCACCTCCAGTACTGCCAGCGCATCAAGTATAAAAGAAACAGCAGAAGAAAGATGTAAAAACAAAAAAGATGGATTTATCCGTTGTGAGTTTGAAGTCTATTCTCGAGCTTGGTGGTGACGGCGAGATTAACCACATTGCCTGTGGGGTCGTTTCCAATGTCACTGTTTGTGTTGCGGTTCTGCTCGACAAGCGCGCGTCGCCGATTGCGGTTGTCGACAATTGTAGCGACTTCGATGGAGGCTGGGGTTGCGGACGGCCGCTTTTTTTGCCGCTCTCTGCGGCGTTGCGGCATTCGAATCTGGCTGGTCCGGGAAGTGAAGCAGAAGGTGAACGTGGTGACGTAACTCGCGGAAGAGGTGGAGGTTCGAAGCACGGCGACGGCATCAATCATGGGAATGGTAGTGCGGACCCAGGACGGGGAATGGTGGTGCGGACTCCTTCGTCTTCGTCTCGCTCCACTTCCTCACGAAGAAATAAGAGCCTCCAACAAGCGACGTCCATGCTGACGAACTACCTTCCCAGCTCTCTAGGGTTGAAAAACATGATGAAGCCTTCCGGGGGCTTATCGACTCAAGCCTCGAAGAGTGCAGTTACCGGAACCGGAAGTCGGGAGGAACTTTTAGGACAGGCACGTGGGGATCCTCAGATTACGGCTGTAGCCTTAACGGATGATTGCCGGCTAGGCGTTCTAGTCTACGTGGACGGTTTCGTAAACGTCGTGCCCGTTCTTCCACCCGGTCTTGTCGGGGCGCAAGCGAATAAAGGTAGAAATGCCGCGAAAATGCCGAGCCATTATAGCGGCAGTGGTAGCGGTAGTGCTTCATCTGCGGGCAGTAGCCGACGAGGTTCCTCTGACATGAACGACCGGCTTAGTCCAAGCAAGCGTCGGAAACGCGCTTTGAGTGAGGAATCTGCGACTTCCCCTTCACCTCTCTTTTATGGAGAAAAAGCGGCCACAAGTATGTTGTCGGGTGTTTCTAGCGCACTGAGTAGTGTGGCTTCAGGAACCGCTTTCGAGGATGTGACGAAGCAATTAGCAACGACGACTGGAATGATGTTGAGTTACGATGGGAACTTTGGTACCAGTTTCAATCCAGCAGAGGAAGAGGACCAGAACTTCCCGGAAGCCTTTTATTTGAACGATATTTTCATATCGAATTTCTGTCGCGATTTTGGTCTCCCTAGTTGCTGCGTCTGCTATTCGACACCGGCAGGAGAGCCACCATCTTCATTTGAGGAGCAGATGGGTGAACAAGAGTCAGGGACAGGCAATTCTGGAGGAGCTTCTTCTCAACAAGGTAGAACTAGAAATGGTACTACAACTAATGCAAGGTGGGGGGAAGACCTCGACGAAAATGAACAGCCCCATAGTTCTTCTTCCAGTGCCAGTCTTACTTCTCGTCTTCAGTGCAGCGATACTAATAAGGGAGGTACCAAAAAGGAAAAACAGCATGCCACGAGTTCAACTAGGGGCCGCAAAAAAAGACACCATCGTGTTTTCATAGGTTCATTTTCCGGCAATGTGGTAGCAGTAGACCTGTCTGACAAGATACCACGTGTAATCGAGAAGTTCACGAATTTTCCCGGTCCAGTTCTCAGTATGCAGCTAGTGACAGAGGCATCCAAGATGTGGTTGTTCCTAAAAGTTGGGGAGAATTTGTTGAGACTCGACGTTTTTGAGGAATGCGAAGACTTGCCTTCCGCAGGTGGAACTACTACTGCGTCTTCAGAACAACAAGAACCAAGTAGAAATGGTGGGATGAATGGAGACATGAATAGAAATACTTCGAAGTCTGCGATTGCCACACATTGTGCAGCTGGTGCGAAGGTGGCTCACCCTAAGCGGCGTAAACTTCTGATTGACATTGCAGACAGTCTGCGCAAGCACAGACGACAGAAAGTGAAAAATACCGAAGTCATTGCCGGCATACACGAGCGCGCGTCGAAGACGCCAGGCGCTCTAGCACAAAGTTTTCTCGCCTGTTCCTCGCCAAGCTTCCCACTGAGACCCCTGCTGCAGATTCCGATCTGCCATGTCGCTGCGTTGCAGAGCGCTGCGAGTAGTCCTCTCGATCTTGGGAATGGGAACAACGCGACGAAGGAAAGTACTAGCGGGAAAGAATCAGCAGATCTTCAGCGAGATCGAGGTGGAGAACACGACCAGCATCATGTTCAAGACGACAAGTTAGCTACTTTAACAAGTACTAAGTTCTTAATTACTGCCGGTGCTGAAGAGAACTACCATACTTTAACACGTACAACTAAGTTCTCAATTACTACGGGTGCTGAAGAGAACTCCCCTGACGCAGATCCACCTGTAGTAACACTGGAACGTCAGCCAACCTTTGGACTTACAGAAGATGCGCAATTTTCCTCTGCAACGAGTAGCACCTGTTCAGAGAAGCCAGATCATGTCAACTCGGGAGGCAGCGGGACTATGAGTGATGCGGAAATTCTGAATAATAGATCGTCAGACGAACAAGGTGCAGCAGCTTTGGGAGACGAGAAGATACACCATGCAGGAGCTGCCAGTGGATTTGCCTTTCCCGACCATGGCTTGCCTTCGGAGCAAGTATTAGAGTCTGTTGCGCCACAAGGTCTCATGAAAGCGTTGAACAAGAACAACTCGAAGGAAGATTATTATAGGAGAAGGACTGGCGAAGTCTACTTCCCTACTTCGGAGGAAGAACACCCTGCAGCCTTGGTCAACAGGAACGATGTCGAGCATAATTCTGGGTTGAAATTAGATGGCGACAAGAGGATGTTGCAAGGGAAAGACGACCGAGAGGTGTCACATTCATCACATGAGGCCACTACCCGTCAAGAAGCTGCACATCACCTCCCTAGAAGTGTGGTCGCAGGAGGTACTGGTGATTATAGTAGCGCTATTTCGACTACGAGTTGTATTTCCAAGAAAAACACCTCCAAGCGGCATTCGAAGAACAATTCTAAAGGAAGAAGTACTTCCAAAGCTGCACAACTTTTGAATTTATCGGGTCTCGCCTTAGAAGACCATTTTTCAACCAGCTTGAATTACGGCTCACCGGAATCCCTCTTCAGAAGCATCCAGCTTCAGAGGCTTTTTAAGGGGGAAAGTGAAGCAGGGCGCTCCTCAAGATGGATTGGGGTGGGCTCTAACTGAAGGAGTCTTCTTCTGGTTCTGGGGAGTCGGGTGGAGACCTTAGTTGTAGAATTGATCGTCTCACTGCGTCGTCGGACGGGAGTAATCGCTCCAGTGACACAGAAAGGGATGAAACTCCAAAGTCAAACGTCTACAGGAACGACTCGGTCTTTGCGGCTGGTGCCGTCGTAAAGCTGCGGAGTAAGGGTTGTCCTGCAGCACCGGTATCTTCAGATGATGAAGACGTACCTCTGCCTGAGCAAGATGAAGAGGAGATGGAACCAGAAGGTACAACTTCTACAACGAGGTCTACTAGTGCTAGAACTGGAGGCCGTGGAAGCGGAGTATTCAAAACGCCAGGTTTGGATACTTCTAGAGAGCTAGGACAAAGTGGCCAGCTTGCCCTGGATTCGACCCCTGGATTCGACCACACAGGAAGAGGCGAGGATAACTTCTTCACACCCGTAACTGCTGAGGAAAGTCCTCATTTTCTTCACCAGGAGTTTGAGCCTGACCATGAGTTTGAGCCTGGAGGTTCTGGTAAGAATAATACGAAGCTTCATGATGCTGGAACAAGTCACAGAACAAGTCATAGTCCGGAGGATTCTGGTAGCTGTAGTTCAACAGTTTTTGATGATGATGGTGATCAACACGAACATCAGCTACAACACTTTTCGCAGGGAGAAGATTCAGATTCTCATAGTGGACCGATGAAGTCTCACCAGCCTCACTCAGAGAGGGACGGAGCAATTCAGAATAGAAGACTGTGGGCTGCATCGTTACGGCTCAATGTGAGTACTATTTTCTTGTGAGAGATTTGTATTTCATGTTTTTGCTGTTGTTCACGATTTATTACTGTAGGTGCGTTGGAGATAACATCCGGTTCAAGAATCGTCACGACAAACTACTCACGACGAGTAGAAAAATGCTAGAAGAAGTAGCAACTCCCTACTGGAAAATAAATACTGAATAAGGTTCGGACAACTCCTCTAAAAATAGCAGCAACAACTCCACCCACAAATCCGAAGTCTTATTTGTTGAACTCGTCGGACGCAGGTTACGATAGGAATATCGCGCCACTGCTAGTTGCTGATTCAAAGACGCCACCGCCTGCGCCATCGCCAATGCGTCCGACGAACACGGGAAGAAAAAGCTCTTCGCCCTCTGCTGCGAGTCTAGCTTCTTCGCCTGTTGGTTGCGCTCCAACAAGCGGCTCCAGTTTGTCCGCAGTTGGCACCCCAGCAGGAGTACTTGCTACTACCCTAACAGTCGTGGGAAGCAAACCTCCTACGTGGACACTGACAGATGTATTGCTGCTGTCGCACGGATCTTTACTCCTAGCAGTATATTCCGATCGCAGGCATACGAAATTGTTACTGCAAACGGCTCTGCAGAGCTCTAGGAACGTGGTAATTCAGGAGTTGGAGATCCACGAACCTCTGCTTGGCGCATCCTTAGGTCCCGGGTCTCTGCAGCCTGGTGGGAGTGGGGGTAGAGCAGGGGAAGGCGCTACGGGTCGTCGCGATGAGTTTGATGACGGTAGCTTGAGCAAGAGCACCTCTTTGGGTAGCGGTATCTTTTCAAACGGAATCGTACCGGCGTCGTCTTCTTCGATGTGGTCTTCAACGTCATCCTTATGGGTACCGTGGTCAACCCATCTTTTGCAACGGCATCCTTGAGCCGAATCCTTTTTGGGACAAGCTCAGAGAGGCTCTATCAGATAGGTCGTCGGTACCTCTAACATCCTCTAGCAATCATTATAGAGGAGCTACTTCGTCCGACTTCTGCATGGAGGAAGAGAGTTGGGTTACACTGTGCATAGTTTGGACCGTTTCTACGGTCTACGCCTTACGTGCCTCACGCCTGCACCTTCGTAGCACCTTGGAAGCCGTGGCTGTGGATCTTCTGGAACAAACTTCAGTCGAAAACTCTTCTTCCAGTGCTGGAATTGGTCCGAGAGGTATCAGTACAACATCGACCGGCACAACGACGTCTAGAAGTAGAACTAGCAAAAACTCCACTAGTAGTAGTATAGCAAGGGCTAGCACCACTAGAAACAAGAACCCCAAGGAGTTGCTAGATGTCCAGTTGCCGTGTTTGTGTCAGGCTTTCTGCTTTGACTATGATGTTAAGGCGCTGAAGCATCCTCAGAGACTAGTACTATCGCTAATGCATGATCTTCCTCAGCATCATCGATCCTTGCTTCTTTTCCTGCTTGAAAGAGAAGCCAAGAAGTAGGATGCTCTCTTCAGAGATGAAGAAACGGTACGACATTAGAGTCTAATGATGAGGTGTTACTGAATGCAGGGAAGATGTGCGAGACTATCCAGAGCACCTTGGAGTTGTGGTCGAAACGGCAGGAGAGACACCAGATTCCACTAGCTGTTTTACGCGAATGCTGGGGTTTTCATGCGCACGAGGTGGTGGAAACGCTCTTCAGGGAGAAAATTTCAGACTTTGAAAGGAAGAACAGTGAAGAGCAGTTTCAGTCAATGTATGGATGATGTTTTTTCTGCATCTATCAGACCATCTAGGCTCCTCGTCTCAAGCTATAGATACTTACGTTTTTAAGGGAAAGGGGACGAAAGGGGTAGCCGTGATGGTCTGCCTAGATGGAATAGACACCATTCATGCAATGAAGGAAGCAGAGGAGCAGCTAGACGCAGTGTTGGGTGAGATGCTGCAGTTTCTTGATCCCCACTGGCAACTAGATGCAGACTTGTGGACCTTGCAGTTGGCCTTGCACTGTTGCTGCTTGCGTGTTCTGTTGCAACAGTTGCCTCTCACCGCGTGGTCGTCAAAGGAAGCTGGGAATGGAGGGCAGAACAAAGTCTCTTCTACAACGACGAATGGAGGGCAGGAGGCAAAGCGAGGTGGACAAGAAGAGGCTGGTGCGGATCTGCAAGTAGCACAAGATAGAGATGCAGCAAGAAGTGGAGCAGTTGTTCCACAAGGTGGTCCCAACGAAGAAGACCTCTGTCCTGCTAGTACCTCCACACAAGTGAGGACTTCAGAGGAGGTACGAGCACTGAAGAATAATATTTAAGACTTGTGATGCCGTAATTCATCTTAACAAGGTAATTCACCTTAAGGGAACACGATTTCAAGGGGAATTCATGTCAAAGATGCACTTTAACAAGATGAATAAATACTTAGGTCAGGTCTAAAACATGTTGCCACCTGAGCTTCTAGCGGCTCCCCGTCAATGGGCACAAGCATGGGTCGAGAAAGAACTCGCTAGACTCTTGGCTGACGAAAATGAATCTTCTTTCCACGATTTCGTTACCGACGCGAGCGGCAGGGCTAAACGGGCACTCGGACTAGGCTTGCCTCCAAGAGAAAGACTTTTGTTATGATCCATCAACGTTAACATACTTATTCGACTTCGAGGTTAGTACTTTGCAAATACAAGAAAGAACTTCGTAAAGTAGTCGCAACATTATCATGACTCATCATGACTACTTCTCTGTATCCCATAACAACTACATCTTCAAGAATTCTAAGTTCACGTGCCTACCTTGGACTCGACAGTCGTGCAGTGTTCCCGACTACGTTGAAGCTGAGTAAAAACGTGTCGTCCTATCTGCAAGCAGTGCTAGTGGGCTGTTTCATCGAGGCTGCGCCTGACGCCGGAGCCGCGCTTGACGTCGTGAAGCAAATGCACTCACTAGCCCAGCAAGTCTCGTGTCTCGCGGAATTGCAGCCAGCGCATGAAACAAACACCAATGGTACAGCAGAACAAGAGCTGCAAAACAACCACAACTTTATTCACGGAAAAGATGGCACAACTACAACATCTGCTAGCACAACCACATCGGCCACAGCAAAACTGTGGGCTGCTGATAGAGTATCTACCTGTGCGATGTTCTACTTTGCAGTTTACACATTCTTGCGCTTCCACATCCTTTATTGTGCTGATAGTGAAAACTCATCAAACTCTTCCATTCGTGTACAACTTCTGCGAGAGTTGGAGAATTGGCTCTTCCCCACTCGTTTTCCAGCGGATCCCAATCTTAGGACTGTGCATCGCTTCGATACAACTTCGAATACATCTTCTACTTACTCAACATTGTTCTTTAGGAGTTGTTTTAGCTTGTTAGTTATGTGAAGGAACACATCTTCATCTGCAATATCTTCAACCTCAAAGTGTCTTTGTTGACCCTCCGACTTCGGCGTCACTGCCACAAGCCAAGAACCTTGCTCGATTCTAATATCCCACGTACGGAGAGTCCTCTGCGCATATCCTTTAGAGAACGGGTGACCATTTACCGCGAAGGCTATCTCTCGGAATCCGATTTCCAAGAGGCAGTGGTGAGTCCTCTGATGAGTCAAGAGGTCATGGGGGATCAAGAAGATCAAGATTCAGGATTGGACAGAAAAGAGTCGAAAGATGATCAGTCAAGAACAAGAACTTCTGGGACGGCAAGTGGGCGAGACGGAGGCGGCTCTACTGTTACAAGAAGTTTGGGCGCTGAGGCTGACAGTCTTTTTGGCCCTCCAGCCGACGGTTCACCAGAATTCGTTTGGGAAGCAGCTTTAGCGTCTACGTCTGCGCCTGCCTTTGGGCGACGGCAGCATGCGAATGACTCAGTCGATCTGGTACTGCCAAAAATGGCTAAACCTATGGCACCAAGTAATTTGATCTATCACTTCAACCTAACCTAACCCTCGTCCTTGGAGATTTACTACACTTGATCCTCGTTTATCACTCTTCCCTTTCTTCGACTTACTACCTTACACGCATTAAAAGTAAGCGCTTGTGACCTATTTACAGATCAATGACCTCGGGTTCCACCTTGTTGGACTCTGAGACTATGAACTTAGACGATGGACCACTATTGTGAGCTCTAATAAGCGGTTTGATTGGGTTTGGCGCTCGCTGCCTTGGAGTAAGGGTTTTAAACTTCATTGGTGTGCACTCTTGGCGGTCGAAAGAGAGCAGTCCAAGATTGCGATAGCACCGGAACTTCAATGAATCAAAATAACGGTGCGACATGAGGGTTTTGATGTTTGATGTTTATAAGCAAGAGCATTTTTCCTATGACGACGAGGCAGAATACGTTTCATTCTTTCCTATGAGCAAGAATTCACTTACACTTTCATTTTACAGCTTTTTCTACAAACTACAAATTTGAATTTCTAGGAAGACGTAGACGAGGCAGGATGCGTAAAGCAGGTACTTTTTGTATTGTGCCGTGTTCGCAAGCGCTCACTAAGATCGATAAGCTTGTCTACTGTACATCCTCTAACTTTGACTGAGTGGAGCGGAAAGATCCATTTGGACATCGGTTATTTGGCAACGACTTTACTCAGGTCACCTGCCTCGGTGCTCGTCGACTTTACACAGGTCACCCATCGTCCTCGGAGGCGAGCAGGTGCCGGTGGGGCTCGTTGTGCAGGATCCATAACCTAACCTAACCTTTGACTACGAGTTCTAAAGATGATGAGTGACGTATCTGATATGATTGATTTTTGCTGGATAAGGCTCCTGTTAGGCCTTGTCGTGTCGGAAAAGGAAGGTCAAACAAGGTACCGATTTGCTTCTGTTTCTTTCTCTACGATCCACATAGCACCCACGATCCACCTGTGTACCCCCTTCCACTGCGAACTGTATAATTTTTGTTATTAGTGTGCGAAGATATTTGGAATACCTGACTTTTTTGATTTTTTGTTTGCTAGTTAGGAGTGCTCCACCGATGTTATTAGTGTGCGAAGATATCGGTCTTTTTTGTTCCTGGTCGTGCGATGGTTCACAGAAGATGAAGAGCTTAGCGCGTCAAGCGTACTCGGTTTAAAAAAACTCATTTGAATTTGTGTTCCGCATGATATTCATTTGCTAAGATCCAAAGCACCTTCTCCGAATAATGACAACGAGCAGGGTTTCGCGTTGTTCTTCTTCGCGTAAGAGTTGAGGTTTTAGCTGTTTCTGTTACCGTTTGGTTTGGCTCTCCTACGGGAGAAGAGCCTTGATGAAGCCAATGTCGAATATTTTTCCCTGTGCTAGCTTGTTGAGCTGTTTGAGCTGTCCTTTCTCCTGAAAGGCCAACTCGGAGATGAACAAAATACAATAAATTACGACAAGAACGACAGTCGCATTCAGTTGCCGACAAAAACAAGGATCATCTGTGTGTCTCTCTCATGTGAATGATCATTTGCGCCTTTCTGTCTTAATTTTGGAAGTTGTCATCTCTGAAAGTCACAAGAGATCGTTTGAACTGCGTCCTCTGTTTCATCAGTCCGCAAGGATCCTCGTTTTACAAGCACCGAACAACCCCTGAGAAAAAGGAATGCAGAAAATGAAAAAGAAGGTAGTTGAACAAATCCTTAGGAATAGGAAGTAAGTACTGCAAATAACTGTAACACAGAACCAGACGGAGCAATGAAGTACTATTGACATATGCTGCATCATCCTGAAAAGGAAGTAATTACTGCTACAAACACAGAAGCACAAGCAATGACGTTGTATTGCAAATATTTAGCATTAGCATCATCGAGCAACTCGTACTCCAGGAAGACAAGCTTCGCTAGATTCTAGCACTGCAACTTGCGTCGTTGAGCAGAGAGAGAGATCAGGACTCTGTTAACGAAAACAAACTTTTATTTCATCAACAAATATATTGCATTATATATAACACCTGACGACGACGTTGAGAAGGCTTACCCATCTGAATGTCTTTTCCTACTTAGACTGAAGACTACAACATGCTAGTGGAATAGGAAGAACCTGAGTGAAGAACCTGAGTTTAATTAGAAGAAAAAGGCTTCTATCTCATGATATTTGTCCAGTAGAGCTCTTCTTCTAAGGCTAGCCTCTCTTTTGACTCTTGGTAATCTCTGTTTTTGGTAAGCCCTTGCTAAAACGCTATGTTTTTGACCCTCTTGTTTTGACATTTAAGTATAACATACTAGTAGCCCGAAGGTAATCTTTCTTTTTGACCCATTTGTTTTGACATGCAATATACTGGCCCTTTCGAATCTGAGTTGAAACTTGTTTCAACTACCACCTCATAGTTCCCATTCCCTACCCCTAGGTTAACGGCAAGAAACCAGAGTCATCTAGATCATATGCATGCTATCTTGAAAATGTCTTATTACTGATTTTTTTTCATGGTATGCTCTCATCAATGTTTTCCATGTCATCCTATCCTGTATATTAAAGATACCATCTCCATCCTAAAAATACACTATAATTCTTCTGTTCCATAAAGGTATTCTTATTCTATCAACACTACAAGTACATGTTTGAAGCTGTTAAGATGTCTTCGAGTTCATCGTCTTCTCATAGCTATCAGCCTCCGTCGGAGCAGTCCCGGCGGGGCTGGAGATTGTCGTTGAGACTGGCTGCGAGTATTTTTGGCTGGGCACAGGGCCGCACACTTGGTGGTACTCTAGGTCGAACTATGCCGCCAGGAACAAGTCAAGAAGAGTATGATGTTGACCGAAACGCTAATGGAAGTCAAGAAGTAGAGGATGTTGTCCCAGGCGCTTCGCTTGAGATGAAAGTGGCAGCTGCCCGTACAACTACGCATGCTGGAAAAACCTCAAGAAGAGGAAGAAGACGAAGACGACCTGACCCACAAGAAGCACCTGGTACAACAACCGTGAACAAAGGAGCACCGTGTACGCATCCGGAGGAGACGAGCACAGAAGAACTAAAAGCAGCTATTCCGAATGTTGATCCTCCACAACTTCCTCTCCAGTCCACGAAGAATGTTGCTCCTCCACAACTTCCTCTCCAGTCCGCGAAGAATGTTGCTCCTCCACAACTTCCTCTCCAGTCCGCGAAAAAGTTTATGTTTCTTCCTCTACAAAAAGATGAAGGTTGTTTTCCTCCTGGTCGTTTGAACAAAGAGCGGTCTAAGCTGGAAAAAGAGGACTCCTCTCCTGGAGATTCTGATGACTTTGGAACTTCATCTGCGGAGTCGAAAGATGGAATGGGAACAATGGAGCATTCAAGGAGTGATGGAAGCACTGGCTGCCCAGCCGGTCCGTCTCCGCCTCGAAGTGACCAAGGGGAGAGACGAGACCAACGAGGACGAGGACAGCCAGGAGGAAAAGACCGTTTCTTAGTGGGAATCGCAGGTGGATTAGAAGGACGGATGAAGAATATGAAAATCAGCGATCGTGCAGATATCTGCAACTCCGGAGGTGAAGGACTTGGGGAGATTTCTCTTCAGACGTCTGGTGGAGGACTTGGATGTGGTATGGCATGGACATCTTTGGCTTCAGACGACGAAGAGACGAAAGAAGAGACGAAAAAAAAGAGAAAAGAATGGGAAGCGGCGGAGAAAAAGCGGAACCAGGACGCTCATGCTGATTTTGCTGAGTCGCAAGGAGCTCGGAACTCTCGGGATGCGCAAGTAGTAGGAAAAAGGACCGACTCGACTCGACCACAAAAGGTCGCGGTTGCTTCTGTGGTCGAATCTCCGAAAGGAGCTGCACAAGGGGAAGGTGGTGAAGCGGGGAAGGCTGTCGAATCTCGGGAAGAATTAGCAACACCAGAAGGAGATTTTGGTGGCCACGGCCAGCAAGATGCTCAAGGAGGTGACGCCGATGGCCAACAAAAAAATAATGCAGGTGCGAAGCCGAGAGAGGCCATGACAAGATGGGCAGACGAAAGTAGTGAAGATGAGAGCCCAGAGCAGCCGGTGGCCCCCGACAAACAAGCAGGCGAACCGAAAACGAAAGATGCACAAGGAAGTCCTATTGAAGAAGCAAAATCGGATGAAGAAGACGATCAAAGCGATGCCGCCAGTGACGAAAGCGATGCCGCCAGTGACGAAAGTGATGCCGCTAGTGAGGAAAGCGACGCCGCTAGTGAGAAAAGCGATGCCGCTAGTGAGAAAAGCGACGCCGCTAGTGAGAAAAGCGATGCCGCTAGTGAGAAAAGTGATGCTGGACGAAGACATTGCTGTGAGGAAAATGCTGCCGACATTGCTGTGGACGATGACAAGACTGCAGGAGTCAACACTACACCGAAGCCTAAAGAGGGCATGAAAAGATGGGCAGACGAAAGTAGTGAAGATGATTGGGCAGACGAAAGTAGTGAAGATGGGGATGACCAGGTCTTCGAGTTGGATTTGGCTGAGCTGGAGAATGAATTTAAGGAGTTTCAAGAAAACGCGGAGAAGAATATTCAGCCGGATGCTCAGCGCAAGGCTTCGCTGCAAAAAAAATACACGTTCTTGCTTGATCTTCAAGTAAAGACCGCGATGCCGCCTACAGGAGCTGCAGACGCCACGGAAGCTACTGGTGCAGCTCGTGATTCAGACGCTACGGAAGCTACTGGTGCAGCTCGTGATTCAGACGCTACGGAAGCTACTGGTGCAGCTCGTGACTTGATCTTTGACAATATCAAGTTACGTGAAATCGTTTTGCAGAAGCTACAAGAGAAAGTGGGTGAGATCCTTGGCATTTCTGAAGAGGATTTCAAGAGTATAGCTGCTTTTTCTTCACCGGACGTGAAGAAAATAGATCCACCAAGGATCCCTGGACTTGCACCGCAGCCGCAGGATCAAGCAGTAAAAGAGAGCACTACTCCTTTGAAGACAAAAGAGGAACTCGAAGTGGAGTTGCTTGGGTCATGGTTTTAGGGCTACCGCTGAAGCATCCTCAGCAAGAACATCCTTGGCCTCTTTTTCAAGGGGAAAGAAGGCGCAAGGATGGGCTCAGGGGTGCTTCAGCGGTAGCTCTAATGGTTGGAAGCAAAGGCTAAGGCAGGAGGGGAAGAGGATTCCGAGAAGGCGAGGGATATGGAACAAGGGCAACAAGCCGCGGTCGACGAATGGCGGAAGGCTCTGACTGGTTTGATTATGATTTTGCAATCTGACTACTTATATTTCTTGATATCCCACTAAGGCCTACATGCTTATGATCAACAAACAGGAGAAGTTTGTGATTTCGTGTTTTTTTATTGGTCTAGGTATTAATCTGTAGCACAACGTGATCATCCTACGTGTAGTTCCGTAGCCTCATTCTCGCATTTCTCGGCTCTTATCTCTTCTAATTTTCGCCGCGGTCTTGACCAAGGCGAAGGTCGACGCGTGTGGGAAGGAAAAAAAAAATTTCGACAAAATGCTTTGCGCAAAGTGGCGAAACAAATGGAAAAGATACGCTTTGTCGAGTCGTTGCGGAGCATAAGGAACCAAT